GACATGAGTAGTGTTCAGGAAGATGAGCCAGGCTGTTAAATGATTTGCAGGATGGAACTGAGATGAAGAGTCAAGAGGCAGGGGGACCAGTGAAGTAGCCTACAGTGAGTTCAGGTGAGAGGTCAAGACCTGTTCTGAGCGTAAGACAACTGAAGTCCTGATAGTGGTTGTTTTAATGAAGGGCTCCTTGTAGCTCTTCCCGCTCCTTTGAGCATCAGAGGTGTCATGTTTACGGCACATATGGCTGACACTCAGAAAAGATCAGCTAAATAGATGGCAATCGACATGGAAAAAGAAGTGCTTGCCTTCCAGCTAGGCCCTTTCAGCTCTAACCAACCCCACAGCATCATTCAGCCAGCATTTAGGGAAATGATCGGGAAAAGGAGTGTTGCAGCTGTCTCACCAATGGATCCAGAAATACGCACAGCACATCCAGGGCAGCTGCAATCAATGTATAGCTCTAATGTATCCTGGGTCTGACATCTTGGCTTCCAGAACTTTTTTTCACATAGGTATCCCGATCTTAGGATAACCATCGCCCTCTGGTAGTGCCCAGTGCCAGGTTAAACCCACAGGGGAAAAGAGCAGACAGCTGCCTACTCTGTGGTAGGACATGGAGTGGGGGGCATCATCAATCCTCCCTGACCCCAAGAGCTCCCCAGTGCTACTGCAATCACTCCTCCTTCCAAAGACACTAGTTACAAGAAGCCCCCCATTCAAATGCAAGTGTTATCAGGGACCATTAAAACATTAACCTATTAACATCCATCAACAATTTAGCGTCAGTTTATCAGGAAAGGTAGCAATAGGGAGCTGATTCTAAGGAGTCAGGAAAAGACTCTGAGTTCACTCACTCATTCACTAACAACTGATAAAGGCCTATTATGTACGAAGCACTGCACTAGACACAGGAACACTGACCTTAAAAGGACCAAAAGAGGTCTTTAAGACAGGAAGACAGAATGGAAGGTGTATATGGTAGCTCTAGGGAATGGCAAAGGTGGCAGGATGATGGCAAAGGTGATAGGATGATGTAATGAAAAGAGCAACAAAATGAACCAGCAGTGAGTTTTAATCTCTGCCCTGCTACTAATATGTGACACTGAACAAGCCACTTTCCTTGCCAGGATTTAGTGTCCTCAATTGGAAAAGGCTGAATTAGGATCATCCTTGTGTCTGTCAAGCTTCTAAGGGATTGCCAGCCACTGAAGCAGCACAAAATATAAACACTGACTGCTTTGCAAATCTGATCAGCTAGGGCTAGCCCTGACTGGGGCTTCCCGCTACCAGCCAGAGCAGTCTGGACTTCCTATACACAGTCCCTGGGGGTCATCACCAAGTGGGATTCTTCTGACATCCACATCTACCCACTGCTTCAAACCAGACTACTCTAGCATGTTTGAACCCACATCTGTCCCCAAATCACTCTAGTCTCTCATGGGCCTTTGAGCTAAGGATATTAGGGACAGGGATAGTCATCCAGGGCTACAAGGCAAGAGAGGCTTGGAGAACAAGTGGGAAGTGTGGCAAACTACTGTTCACTCTTGTAAATTCTCCCCAGGGTTGGAAAATTCTTATCTCACAGATTTTTGTCTGAGCTGGAAGGGGCCCTTAGGAATAACCTGGTCCAGGTTCTTCATCTGAACCTGCTGATTAATGGTAGGACCAAGTTTTAATTCCCTGATCTTCCAGCTCTAAGACTAGTGAGTGGTTTTTCAACTTTCCCATCCTGTTTCCTCTAGAGGGAGGATCCTCTTTGCCAGGCAACTCAGCTGGGGACCTAAAGCACAGCAGATGATAAACATCTTCTGTCTTTGAAAGAGAAGAGGTATAGCCATAAACAAGTATGCTCAAAATACCAAAGAAAATAGAGTTCATGTGAAATTTGAAGAATTTTAGCAAAAGGGCATAGGACAGGGATGAAAAGAAGTAGTGTGGGAGACACTGAGAATGCCATGGAGTGCTTAATGGGATTCGTCTCCTACTTGCCCCATAACCAGGTACAAACCACAAGCCCGTTGATTCTTAACCCCAGCAGCTGAACTACCCGAGGCCCAGAAAAGGGGCAACACACACAGTTTACACCTTTTATTATTCTGATAGAAATTTCTCTCCTGGGAACAGAAAGGGGTCAAAAGTCCAAAACCAAAATTATATCTCTTTATAAGTCAGAGCAAAGAGCATTACAGCAGTTATTTTATTTATTTATTTATTTAAAAGCCTCAGTGAACAGAGCAGAGTAGGAGGTGTTAGAAAACTCACTACAAGTAATTTATTCGCTGGGAACCACAAAGGCTTTCCTAAGAACAGCAAAAACACCATTGATTTCCCCAGTACCTTCCTTTCAAAGGACTCCAAACACTTCACACATATCGTTTTAAATTGTCCTCAAAGGCTCCAAAATAAGGGGTTACTATTTCCCCAGGTTCAGATGGAGAAACTAAAACATTCATGCCTGCCCTATCTGTCCAAGTCATCCTAACAGGTTCAGCTAACATCCACTGAGGGCCTGCTATGCACATGACCCATGCCAGGCAAACGGGTGATACAAAGACGAAAGATATGATCTCCATCCTCCAGCGAGGCAGAATCCAGTGGGGCATGACGGATGTGTACACAAATCCTTTTGAAATAAGGCAGCCTATGCTAGGTGCTGTAGAAAAGGTCCAAATACAGTGCCTTATTTTACCAAGTGGCACTAAAATGTGCCAAGTACTGTGCTAAGTCTTCACTACCATCATATTGTTTAAGTCAGACTATGTGTGGCTTATAGAGAAAGAAATGCGAGGTAAAGAGACTTGCCCAGAGTCTCAAGGCCGCACTATGGCAAAGCAGGGATTAGCACCCAGGTCTGTCTGGCTCCAAAGCCCATGTGATGGGAGGTAACTGCTTGGGAAAACGGTCTTTGGAGAGTTTAGCACAAAGTACCCATACCTTAGAGGTGAAGAGCAGGACACATGGGCTCTCACTAGGTTGTTGGGGAAAGGCCTGTCTCCTCAGCCCCAAATTGCATATGCATGTACTCATCCGGATCCTCCACCACAGGGACTGCTCTCGTGGATCAAGAAGCCAAAGGCAAGGGTCTTCCAAAAGGGAACAGAGATCTCTCTGAGCAAAGAAAGACTGCAAGGTCCTGAGCACTTCATCTTCTGTTGGTGGGCACTGAAAGTGGATCCAGGCCAGAGGGTGTGGGATCCCCTGGCTGGCTGTGACAGAAAGTCTACAGCCTGTGCGAGCAGGGCATGGTGGTCATGGTATACATACCAGCAGAGCATCCTTTTCTCAGAGCTGGAGTGGAACTCCTGCAAGGGAAGGAGCCCCCTGCTGGAGGTCCCTAGAGAAGGGCCTGGCCTGGAGATAGCTCTGCAGAGCTCACCTGGTGGGGGTAACCTCTGCCTCGTTTGCTAAGGTTCCATTTTGGAGGCTAAGGAACAAAGTGTCAGATTTGGAGGAAGAAGAGCTTATGCGGCACCAGGCTACTGTCCCCAGACCAGACAGGTTAGAGTGCATAGTCAGCCCTGGGGAATCCCTGGGTCTTAGCAAGGGTCAGGTTAATATATAGCTCTATATTAAGGCTCCAGGACAAGAAAGAGATGGCGGAAGGAGCAGGTCCTCCAAACTCTGGAAGGAAAGTTGGGCCTGGAACTAAGGAAGCCCAGTCGCCAGCCTAGCAGTCTTCCCATTTAACACGTGTGATCCTTCTGCAATTGTTTTCAAATCTTAATTTCGACCTAACAAGACAACAACAAAAACCCTTTGATGGATAAAAGTAAAAGAAAAGTGTTAACAAAGTGTGTGTGAGAGAAAGGGGATAATGAATAATTATATCAAAATACCCAAATAAGGGAAGCTCTATACTTTCTGGCAGCCATGGCAATAGGAAAGCAGGATTGTTACATCATTCTCATTGTTAAATCAAGGGAAGCATAGAAGTTCATCAGGGCAGAGAAAGTTCTTAATTCTCAGTGCAGAGAGACTCATATATACACAAGCGAATGTGTACCTGCACACATACACATACACTTACCCCATTTCTCTTTCCAAGGAACAGGGCAAGCCGCTCTCCAGAGCCCTGCTGCCTCTCTCACACCACACTACCACTGCATGCAATGAAGCACTTCAACAGTTAAAACATTTTTGTGCCAATATTTTAAGAGTGCAGAAGGTTCCAAATTACATGTAAAATAAACAATGCCAGACTGTGAAAACTCTTGGCTGCAACGTTCTCTGATGTTAACAAGAGTTTCTTTATTACTGTAACCTTTCAGAAGTGAATAAAAATTATTTCTCTGCCCTAGTTTTGCCCTCCAGTAAAAAGGAAGAGAACAGGGACCATGGAAAGAGCTGTACAATGACCTCTCATGAAGCCTAGGAGGCTGGGAAGGGGGCAGTTTAAAACACAAAGCCTTCCATATATGTTTCTAGTCAAAGGTTAGAAATTTAGTTTGTGCTGTAGTGATCATATTGTAGAATTTCACGTTCCTAGTATTTTTATGTAACTAAAACCCTTAGGGGGACAAAAGGGCATTTTCAAGAGCCCGAACTAAGCTGCTACTATGGAGAAAACCCAAATCTTGATCAAGGCTCCTTAGCCATTCAGTGAAATCTCCTGACTCAGAAACTGAGTCTGAAGTGCCCTTAAAAAACAGGGAAGAAGACCTATAGGTGGCCAGGACTTTGACAAAATGTGTTATTTTGCAGACTTTTCAGTCGATGAGCCTGTGAATACTGGACACACAGAAGGATCTCAAAATGGAGCTAGTCTGGACAGTGTTTTCACCACTGCAGGAGAAAGAGGAAAAAAGCCACCAAACAAAGGCAAACATGCTCTTGTTCTCTCACAGAACACTGCCTTTACCCACGCCATTCCTCTGCCCAGAATGTTCCTGTCTAGCAAACACTCATCCGAAAAGATACAAACCAAATGTCATCTACCCCAAGCTTTTCTCCTCTGGGCAGAGCAATTTTTAAATATCATAATCTCTTAATATTATAATTACCTGTTTATATGTTTGTCTTCTCCTACTAGACTGGGGAGTCAGGGACAATATCTTTGTCATCTTTGTATCTCCAGTGCCTAGCAGAGTACCTGGAAACTAGCAGACCACAATAAAATGGTTGGATAGATGGGTAAAACCTTGTTTGTGTCTGGGAACAGAAATCAGACAGAGAATGATTAACTGCTAAAAAAATAGAACACAAGCTCTGGGATTTAACACAAGGCTAGCTTTTCAGACTTTCACAGAGTTGCAAATGTTAAGTCTGGAAGAGAATTTAGAAATCATCAAGCTCTCCTCCCCAGAGAGGTGAGGTGATTTGACTTACTCAAGCTCACCCAGAGAGTGGCCAGGCTGGCCAGAACTCCTTCCATTATACCACACCATCCTTTCTCTTTACTGTCAAAAATTGCAGGTATAAATATTTATTTGGCAATAAGATGAGAAATATGATTAAGACTACAAATTATGAGAATGTTATTTCATTATAAACAAATGAACAATGGATGTCACAGTAGGAGTTCAAATAACTTTATATAAATTACAATATCTGAGTTGCTTAAAAAGCTAAACATAGCATACCATATGACCCAGCAATTCCACTCTTAGGTATATACCCAAGAGAACTGAAAACATATGTTCAGATAAAAACCTGTACATGAATGTTCACAGCAGCATTATTTAAAAAAGCCAAAAATGGAAACAGCCCAAATGTCAATCAACTGATGAATGGATAATAATATGGGGTATATCCATACAATAGATTATCCATAAAAAGTATGAAGTACTGAAACATGCTACAACATGGATGAACCTTGAAAACATTATGCTAAGTAAAAGAAACCAGACACGGAAGACCACATATTATATGATTCCATTTATATGGAATGCCCAGAATAGGTAAATCCACAGAGACAGAAAGTAGAGTAGTGGTTACCAAGGGCTGGGGGAAAGGGGAATGGGGAATGACTGCTAACGACCATGGGCTTTCTTTCTGAGGTGATGAAAATGTCCCAGAATTAGATAGTGGAAATGGTTGCATAACATTGTGCATTTACTAGAAAAGCACATTAAAAATGCTGAATTTTATGGTATATGAATTACATCACCATTTTTTTTAATGGAAAAAAAATACAATCTCTTCCTTCTAGTAATTTAACTGAAGGAGTCAGGACCAGAGATGCTTAAGCACTCACAGGTTCTGAGTTATATGACAGTAATATAATGCAAGTTTGGGGAAGAAGTAAACACTTTTAAAATCTTAATGCTAATGCTAGAACCACAGTTTTTAGCAACGACCTTTTCAGGCAGTACACAGTAGTGATTAAGAGCATGGGCTCTAGAATCTGGCAAGTTTGGGTTCCAATCCAGGCTCTCATATTTACTGTGTAAGTCTGGTTCAGTTACCTAACTGGTAGGCTAAATAATGGTCTCCCAAAAGATATCTACATCCTAATTCCTGGAACCTGTGAATGTTACCTTATATAGCAAAAAAGGACTTTACAGCTGTGATTAGGTTAAGGATCTTCAGATGGGAAGATTATCCTGGATTTCCAGGTGGGCCCTAATTGTAATCACATGCACCCTTCTAAGAGGGTGGAAGAGGGTGCTTAGACCCAGATAGAAGAGGAGAATGCAATGTGCCCACAGAGGCAGAGATTGGAGTGATGTGGCCACAAGCCAAGGAATGCCAGCAGCCACCTAAAGCTAGAAAGGGGCAAAGAACAGGTTCTTCCCTAGAGCATGGCCCTGTTAACATCTTGATTTCAGCCTAGTGAAAATGATTTCTAGCCTCCAGAAGTATGAGAGTAAAGTTCTATTGTTTTAAGTCACCAAGTTTGTGCTAAGTTGTTACAGCAGCTATAGGAAACTAATATACTAACTTCTCTGATCCTTAGTTTCTCCATCTGTAAAATGAGGATAGGATTTCATGGGTAAGATTGCTGTAAAACATAAAACTGAAATGGTGCTTATAAAGTACACAGCAAAGAGAAAGTGCTCAATAATTGTTAGCTATTACTATTGCTGACCTCTGTTTCTGTATTATGCTGAAATTCTCAACTTTCACATGTCACTAGTCCATCCCAGACCCTGCTCCTCTTAGCAAGGGGAGCAGTAAGAGCTGGCCATCAGGAAACCTGAGTTCCGTTCTTGGTTGGTTTCTAACGTAAGCTTACTCAGCTCTCCCAGAGCCAGTTTCTCCATCACTTAAATGACAGGATCAGACTAGAGCAGTGGCCCTCAAACTGGAGGCTTTGTTAAAATACAGATTGCTGGGCCTCACCTCCAGAGTTTCTCATTCAGCAAGTTCCTAAGTGATGTTGAAGCTGCTGGTGTGGGGACCACTTTGAGAATCTCTGGATTAGATTATTTCAAGGTTCTTTTCTAGTTTTAAGTCTGAGATTCTCCAGGAACATCCCATAGATGTAGCACTCCAGTAATAAACACAGCTGTATCAGGCTGAAATAGCCTTTAAACTAAGTTCTTTTCCCCGTGGGGGACAGGAGGGTATGAGGTTATATGGTAAAGACTGCTTTTAATTTTTGAACGAAGCAGAATGAAAAATCTTAAGCAATGGTGGGAACAGGAAGAGGCTGTCCCCTTATCCAACGTGCTGGCCCCATTTTAATTTATCTTAATCCCACCCTTCTTCCTTTTCACCAGACCCCTCCCCCTAATGCCCTCCTCTAGAAACACATCTAGGTGTCTCCTGAATACATTTATTGGCTTTGCACAGTATAATACCACCTTTGTTAGTCTCCCAGCCCAGCCTCTCCAAGCACAGTGTTCAGTCTCGGTGTTCCTCTACTCCTAAAAAAACACGACCGAGGAGTCTCTGAAAAATAATTGTAAAATCAACTAAGGCGAATTCAGACGATGTGGAGATATTCAGGCTCTAAATGCTGGGAAAAGAAACAAATTCAGAACATTGTTAGCATTCTCATCTGTCTTTTTTTTCCCCCTTAATCTCTATCTGTCCTGTTGAGTAGGAAACCTCTGCCGTATTGGGTTAGAAATTCTGAATAAAGGGGACTCAGGCTTGGGACTGCACTGAAGAAATGGAACAGCTCTAGATTCAAGAAAAGCTGTCCTCTTGGTCTTTGGAAGTCTTTGGTAACAAGACAGGGGAGAAGGAACCTGCCATGAAGTTGATTTCCACTTCCCCCTCACCCCCAGAGGTATCATCGTACAGTAAAGCAGACACTGGACTGGGAATCAGCATACCCTAGTTTTTGGTCCTCATTTTTCTGTTTTCTAGCTGCATGACCTTGGGCAAATCAATTAACTTCTCTGGGACTCCATTTCCTCACCACAGAAGTGAGAGGGTGGGAACAAATCTATAGTCCTTAACCTGAGATGGGCATCAGAAATCTTCTGGGGAAGTTTTTCAAAATACACACACCTCAGCACCTTCAGACCCAGAGAATCTCTGAGGCTCCCAGTCTAATGTTCTAAGGTTCATCTATCCTATAAAGTGGATTAAAAGTATAAATGATGAGAGAGCCAGGGAATCCATGAGGCAGGTCACAGAGAGAAAAATGAACTTTTTTGGGGGGGTGGGGGGATGGGTCAGAGAAATTGAATCCAGGTGCCATAAGAGATCATTAATTCAGTATTTGGGAGATAGTGCTGGCCAGACATTAATAATAGAAGAACATACATACACCCAACAAGTATCTGAGGGGTGACTACATTAGGCACTCTGTGTTAAGCACTAGGGATCCTAAGATCCTTATCCCATCTAATGGGCATGACCTACACAAACCCGTAATTACAGTACAGCATGGTAAGTCCTATCTCAGAAGTTTGTGCGAAGTGCTGGAGGAATACAGACAAGGGAGTGTCCAAATATACTAATATTACTGGGGGGTGCTGGGAAAAGCTCCTTGGAAGAGGTACTATCCAGTTGTGTCTTACAGTGCCATGAGCAGAGGAGACAGGGTTAAGACCACTTCAGACAGAGGGAACTGCATGAACGAAGGCTCAGAAGCATAAAGGAACATGGAATATTATAGCACCAGTGAAAACGAGGCATGAGTGAAACATGTGTTAGAGTGTGTGTGTGCACACGCTCAAGTATGAACATTTGCATGTAGGAGAAGTTTGCTGGAAATTATACTAGAAAGGTGGGCTGGGGCCAGAATGTGAAGGCCTCTCCCCCAATTTTTCACTTTGTAAAGCTTCAAACTTATTATTTTTTTTAAGCTGTAAGATTAATACAGCAAAAGGTTGTTGTATTACAACCAAGAAGGTTCTCCGATATAACTGTGAAGGGTTCTTTATGCCATTGCTAAAAAGTTTGAATTTTGTCCCTCAGAGATTTCTAGACAGAAGGGATATGATCAGATGTGGGATTTAAAAAGAATACCTCTGGCAGCTTAAATGGTGGCAGGTTCACTAGAGGGGGAAAGTCCAGGAACTAGTTAGGAGGCCATGTCCAATAAAGGACAGATGATGAGGAACTGACATGAAGCAATGGAACAGAGGAGAGGATAAAATCCTGAGATATTTTGGGCAGAAAAGTGACAAGACAACTCGATGCAGAGGATGAGGCAGGAGTTGAGGACATTCTAAGAATTCTAGCTTGGGGGGCTGGACTGGTGGTGATGACCTTAGATGTGAGACAGGAAAACACAGGAAGAACAGGTTCGTGGAGCTCTTTATCCCATCTCCTGAGTGAGATTTATTTAGGAGTAGCACTAGTGACCCCTGAAAGAGAGGTGTGGAAAATGGCTTTAGCTGTGCCCGATGCACACAGCTCTTAAGCAGTATTCTGACTATGGTACAAAAGATACCAAATGCAACCGGGCACCCAGAGAGATTGGAGGCAAAAGAAATGTGATGCATTGGAGAGGTGAACAGTTCTGCAGTGATGAGCTGAACTGGGAGTACTTAGCATGAGGGGTACTTAAGAAGGTATTAGGGGAAGGCAGGACTACACATGCACTGAGTCAGCCAGGGCTTTGTAAAATGGATTTAGGTCACTGTTTCTCCTACAGAAATTCCAGGAGGCAAACTGAAGATAAAAAAGGGGATGAAATTCACTTATTTATTCAGTCAAGAAACATTTACTGAATGCCTACTAAACACAAAGCTCCACTGAGGCACCATAGGAATACAAAGACAAACAAGTAAGAATTAGACCTCAGGAAACTCACGATCTACAGCTGAACATAAAAATGGCCATGAGAGAGATAAATGACCATGTGCATAGACAGCAGTTTCACGTTTTATTTAATTTCAAATACAGAAACGTTTATAACTTCTCTTTTAGGGACACTCCCTGAAGTGGAGTGAATCCAGTACGCCACTCAGAAGGTCACATGACCTGAGCCATCAGACTGGCATTCTGGTTGTATGCACCCAGGCATCCAGTCAGTTAGAAAACCACCTAAAGCATACACTCCATGCACTCTTGCTACCTCTTCAGGCCTGAGGATAAGAAACTTGCGTACAGAAAGGAACGCATCTATTAGAGGTACATCTTCAGCTGGCTCAAATTCATGGGCCAATTCCAAAATGGAATTGCTCTACCTTCTAAGAATTTAGTCTTCTCTCCCCTAATAAATAAGTATCCACTCCAACACCTTAGGACATTTAAAAAATGTTCAAAAGAACGATTGCTATTGGAAAATAAACATGTATTCTTACTTTACAAGCTTCGAGCCCATGGGATTGCTCTGTATTTACACTCCACCATTCATATTACTGGCCGCAAAAACTATATGTTTAAAGTGGTCCTTGCCTTTTAAAACAATACCTTTGGCAGTGAGTTTTAATTCTGACCTAGAGATGCAAAGTATAGCAAAATTTTTACCTCATGGTAAAACAAAGGAGTTTGATTGAAGATTTTTGTGGGGGGAAGGAAGAGATGGGAATGGAATTAGAGGTCTGGAAGGAAATTTCCAGAAATCTAAAGTACATGTAATTCTTATTTCTACTACCTTTTATAGATTTAAGGCTTTTCTGGTTTAGAAATATAATGTACCTTATTTACAAATTGTTTCTTTTTAATCAAATAATCCCACTAGAAGATGAGAAATCATGGACAAAGAAAAAGAAAAATTCAGAGTGGAGACAACTTCTCATTTCTTTTTCTTCCAATATTTAAGACTAATGAGCAAACAAATATCCTCAGAATAAAAAGGATACCTCCTCACCCTACTTTTCCCAACACTTATAGTGGGCTTCCAGAACCATCTCCTTTCATCAGATATTTACCAGGCATACGTTCTGCCAAGGAGCAATGACTGGCACTTTGGAGAATACAAAGAGGGATGCATGTGATCCCACCCCCCAGGAATCCACCCAGAAGGCAGTCAATACATGAATAACACTGATGCAAAAGAGAAACAGTAAAAGCCAGAAGAAGGGTAAATATAAATTATTAAGGTACTAACAGCTAGGGGAAACCGGGATTGGCTTCCAATTTGAAGTGGAGGGACATGAAGGAATTGCGGCTGGCATGTTAGGGCAATCTAGGTATATGTACCACATGAGAAAAGACACAAGACAGGAAGAGCAAAACATTCAGCTTGGCTGCAGTGAAAAGTACGTGAGGCGGGCTTCCCTGGTGGCGCAGTGGTTGAGAGTCCACCTGCCAATGCAGGGGATGCGGGTTCATGCCCCAGTCCAGGAAGATCCCACATGCCGCGGAGCGGTTGGACCCGTGGGCCATGGCCGCTGAGCCTGCGTGTCTGGAACCTGTGCTCTGCAACGGGAGAGGCCACGCGGTGAGAGGCCCACGTACCGCAAAATAATAAATAAATAAATAAAAGTATGTGAGGCAAAGATGGAATGTGATGTTCACCGAGTGCTTCCTATGTACCAGACACATGTGTAGAGGTTTCTCATATTTAAGGTTCAAGAAGAATTGGGGAAATGAGTTTGGAAAGGTAGTCTGGAGTATGATCAGAGGACTTTACAAAGCAAAATGCTAGTTCTGAAAAGCAAAGTAGAATTTTACAAAGGAGTCCAATTCAGCCCACAGCTCCTCCACCTCTTTCCAGGCCCTCTGCACCATTCCATCAAGCAGCTCTGCTACAGAGAGAGCAGGAGACCATGAGCTGACAGGAGGTTCATCCTTATTCAGAAAAGCAGTGAGCAAGAAGTCACCTGACATCCTGCTGAAGCCAACTGTCATGCCAGGGACCACTGACAGAGATAAACTTGCAATTTCTTAACTAAAGCCCATCCCCACCCACTCCTACCTTGTCTCCACAGTTTGGAAAGCTTAAACCTGCTTATTGTAAGCCACAAGGTGGAGATGTCTGGCAGGGCAGAACTGAAAGGAAGTCGTTTAGCCAGCCTAAAGTTACCATTAACACTTTGAGCCACTGCCTTGAGCTAATTTTTATGTTTGTTTTTTAAGTTTGGTTGAAATGTCACAAATGGAAAAATTAAGTAAAGCGCTCCAGTTAGCCACAAGACTGGACACACCTGGCTGCAAACCCAGCAAAAGAAAACTTACTTCATTAGTAGGAGAGGTAGAAAGTGAAATTTACATCTGAAATCTGCCTGCACCAGGAGAAAGTGCTGAGGCCAAAGGCGCTGTCTGTTTTTACAGCTGTGTCAAGTCTTAGTTCTCTACTCTTACCAACACTCAGGAGTGAGGCAAGGGCCCAAGGAAAAATGGTCTCCAACCTCTTCAGCTGCAACTCAGCTCACAAAGGTTTTTAAGAACCAGTTAATGAAATAAAACAAGACCAGATGAGGTGATATAATGAACTTTATTTCCACAGCTAATTTATATGTTTAAATCCCAAATAATGTTTTTTTTTAAAGTCAGAACACTCTAAATTATTGATGTGATTTTTGTAACCTCAAATTTAACACTTACTTTTTATAACCAGCTTCACTGATGATATATGAGGCTGCCATATTTTTCACAATAGTTGGGCTCCTAAAAAGCTGGTAAAAAGCAAATTTTTGGAAAGTGAAAATTTTCTCACCAAATGAGACTGGAACTCTAATTTCAAAGGATTTCTTGATCCAAATTTCTAATGTGTCATTAATTCGCATTCTCAATCTTCCCCACACAAATCTACTCAAGTAAAGTAATGGCCTCTAAGAATTCTTTGGCATAAGAAAAATCACCACTACATTGATCAGTCTTATAAATTCTACTTTTTATATGAGTTTTCTTAAAGATGCCAAGTAACACAGAAATAGATTTGCAAATTACCACCTTCACATCATAGGTTTTCAAAGCTGAAAAGAAACTTGGAAATCATGTAGTCACCCACCCCCCCAAGTTTTTTTTTTTTAACCAAGAAACTGAAGCAAGGAGAAGAGAAAAGACTTGCCAGCCAGGGTCAGAACCAGGCCAGACTGGCTCCCTCTGGCTGCTACTTTTCTCCAGCCACATGCCATTCTTCTCCAGCCTAACCTTCTCATTTCTTTAGGTTGTACAAACACCAAATACTGAGGTCCCCTCTACACACACACAGTCACGCTAACAACTGAGAAGTGGCTAATGTATAATTTTCTTGCCTGTAAAAAGGGTGTCTGTTTATAGCATGAGGTTGGAAAGGGAGGAGCAAATCAGTTATAACAGAAACGTAATAATATTAATTCCCCAACTCTTTGAAATCTCTATTATTTTTTATAAATTTATTTATTTATTTATTGGCTGTGTTGGGTCTTCATTGCTGCGTGCGGGGTTTCTCTAGTTGCGGCGAGCGGAGGCTACTCTTTGTTGCGGTGCGCGGGCTTCTCACTGTGGTGGCTTCTCTTGTTGCTCGCGGAGCACGGGCTCTAGGAGCGCGGGCTCAGAAGTTGTGGTGCACCAGCTTAGTTGCTCCACGGTATGTGGGATCTTCCCAGATCAGGGATCAAACCCGTGTCCCCTGCACTGGCAGGCAGATTCTTAACCACTGTGCCACCAAGGAAGTCCCTCTATTATTTTTAAATCATCTTTTATTTATAGTCTTTGTAACTAAACTTGAGCTTGGCATTTCTGTTCATGAAGACAAATTTAAGAGTCTATACTTGGGGAGCATTATGGATCATCTGAAACCCTGCTATTCAATGTGTGGTTGCCCCTCCCCCACCCAGCCCCACCAGTGGAATTGGCATCACCCAAAGCTTTTTAGAAATGTAGACTCTCTGGCCTCACCGAAAACCTACTGAATCAGAATTTGTAGTTTAACAAGATCCCCAGGTGAACTGTAGGCTCATTAAAGTTTGAGAAATGGTGGTCTAACACACTTCTCTATAGGACAGCATCATATGTAGAACAATTGAGATAGAAAAAAATGGTTGGATAAAATGGGAGAAAAAAAAAAAAAGGCTAATTTCTGCAGGACTGCATTGACGTACACCTGGACCAGAGACTAATAAACCGAGTATGATCTATCTGACAAATAAGTTGGCTTTAAAACAGAATTTCAGAGGCTGAAGTTCAATTTATTCATTCATTCAACAAGTATTTATTTATCCAATGTTTACTGTGTAAACAAAAAACTGGATAAGACAGGTTTCGCGCCTTTATATAGCATACAGTCAAGCAGAAGGGACATTATAAAGTAACATGGGAGAAGGTTCAAATTGCTGAACCTTGTGATGGAGATATATGTATGTAGGTCCCAAAGGAAATCCATTTGGAGGTGGAGGTGGGGTAGAGTAAAAGGTTCCTGTGGTCCAGGAATTGGCAACCTATGACTCATTAAGCTATTCAGTTGGGGACAGCTGTGGTCCACATGGCTCTAGTGGTCCCACTTCCAGCAGAGTTTAATCAACAGTGATAAGAAACAGACTAACTCATAGAAGAACTACTGTGTAACTGCATGGCAGTAAGCCGAGGCTTTGGCTGGCCAGGGGGTATCACTGGTCATCATTAAATGGGATGATTTGAGACTGCCAGCACTACTGTATATCCACTGTGAGCTGCCACAGAGTTGAGCAGTAAGTACTTGTGGGCATGTGGAACACTCAGCTGGTTGAAGAGCTTAAAGACTGCTGATCCCACTCTGGGCAGCTAAACAGCAGTAAGGTATGACAGTGAGAAAAATGAAGAAGGAAGCAAAGAGTGTAATTACAAACACACATTGACTCCAAAACAGATGATTATAATGATTATGATGACGAAGATGATGATGACAGCAGCTAAAACTTTGAAATATGCTATCATCTTCTTAGAATGAACAGAAATGCTAATGGTCTGCTGTCCCAGAGAAAGGCATGTAAATGTCAGTGAAGCTATCTAAAGATGAACCCGAAACGAAATTGAGCTATTTGTAATGAGGTGGATAGACCTAGAGTCTGTCATACAGAGTGAAGTCAGAAAGAGAAAGATAAATACCGTATGCTAACACATATATATGGAATTTAAGAAAAAAAAATGTCATGAAGAACCTAGGGGTAAGACAGGAATAAAGACACAGACCTACTAGAGAATGGACTTGAGGATATGGGGAGGGGGAAGGGTAAGCTGTGACAAAGCGAGAGGGAGGCATGGACATATATACACTACCAAACGTAAGGTAGATAGCTAGTGGGAAGCAGCCCCATAGCACAGGGAGATCAGCTCAGTGCTTTGTGACCACCTGGAGGGGTGGGATAGGGAGGGTGGGAGGGAGGGAGACGCAAGAGGGAAGAGATATGGGAACATATGTATAACTGATTCACTTTGTTATAAAGCAGAAACTAACACACCATTGTAAAGCAATTATACTCCAATAAAGATGTAAAAAAATATAATAATAATAAATAAATTACTAAGCAATTTAAAAAAATAAATAAAAAGATGAACCCATGTCTACTGTGCTTTCTATACACGCATTTCCTCCAAAGTCATGAGAATCTGAAAATACCCTCAATCCAGATTCTCAGTAGGCAACCATCATTTCCATGACTTAGTCTCAAAGACTATAATTTCACACATAGAGTGAGCACATGATACCATCAGATAATAACATAGGAAGTGTGTGAAAATAATTATAGTAGATAAAAGTAAGACATGGGAAATCTCCCACTTAATTCCCATGCAGCATGGAAAGATCTCTAAAATATATTGTTGAGTAAAAAAAAAAGTTGCATTTAAGTGCATAGAGGATGATATCATATATGATAAAATATATATACGCAAAACCACAGAACTTTGTGCTGTAATGAAAGAAACCAAATTAACCCATTTTGTGACCCTGTCTGATGGTTTGGCTTTAGATGCTCCCAAGCTAGGAGGCAATGATATGGGAAAAAAACAAGGAACTACAATCTACTAAAATACGGTCTAGATACACAAAATACACAATATACACAAAGGAAGAGAGTACTATTTATATAACCAATTGTATCCTAATGTTTTGGTTTTGGTTTTCTATTGTCATCATATTCTGTTATATACATACTACATATTCTCCTTTCTCAGGTTATTAAATATACTAATGTACCTTTTCAGTAGATACCTTGCCAAAGTATTCTAGGTTGTCAGTGATCAAGAAGCTTGTTTTTAAGTTCTTGAGCACAGTGCAGGCCCCATGCCAGGATCTTTCCATCCAAACTAATTGTGAACTGACACACTGAACTGGTATCAAAGGCAAAGTGTCCTAAAACTGGATTATTATTATTTGATTTTATCTGTTCACCAAATCCATCCCTCCTATCACCATGATTTGGACTTAATAATCCCATCTCCGTACATAGGATGTACTCACACTGACAAACCATGGTAATGTGGGCAAATACATAAATAAAGTGTCAGTAGCATGCCAGTCTTCATAGAGGCAGAAGTGACTCTAGGTGAATTACCACTTGACATCAGGCCATTCTAGAACAGATAAAACTTCAACTCCAGTCAGGCAACCCCTCATTGGAGTTTTCCAGGACCAGAATCTGATAGCACTCACTTACCCCCATGATTCTGCCACGCTGCTCAACATCCTCCCACATAAAATGAACTATGATACGACACATGTATTTCCCACTCCGGCCTTCCTGCTTCATTCGGACTAGACACATCCTGGGTGGGAAGAAGACATAAAGAGTCACTGGCTGTTTGCATTTTTTACATCACTCATTTCCACGGAAGGTCAGCTCATCTAAGTCATTTTATCAAAGGGCACAGAATCAAAAAACTAGAAGTGATTAAAAAAATCTTTTATTGAGCTATAACATAGATACTGAAAAGTACATAAATCTTAAGTGTACAGCTTGATGAATTTTTACATATAATATACACCCATGTAAGTACCACTCACATCAAGACATAGATTATTTAGAGCACCTCAGAAGGCTCCCTCATACATGAAAGGGACCACTTTTAGTTGTTTAAAGATAAGTCTGAATCCTTCATTTTACTGATGAAAACAGGAGTTCTAAAGAAGGAAAATGATGTGCCCAACACCACAGAGCAGTCTATAAAGGTGGGTATAGTACTGAGCTCTCCCATATGGACGCCACTAGCTACATGTGGCTACTGAACATCTTAAATATGGCTAGTTCAAACTGAGATGTGGTATAAGTTTAAGATGTCAAAGATCTAGTTCATGAAAAAAGAATATAAATATCTCAAATTTTTTACATTGCTTACATGTTGAAATATTATCAGGTATATTGAGTTAAAGAAAACCTATTATTAAAATTAGTTTCATTTTTTTTCTTTTCACTTTTTTAAATGGAGCTACTAGCAACTTTTAAATATGTGACTTGCATTATATTTCTGTTGGATAGTACCCGTCCAGAATATAGATGACAGAAAGTATTATGATTTCATCTGTATAATTATCAAATTGTTTCCCCCATTAGAATGTAAGTTCCATTGAAGGCAGACATCAAGTCTGGGTTTTTTTGGGTTTTTTTAAATCATTGTATATCTAGGGCTTAAGTATAGTATGCACTCAATATATATTTTCTGAATAAATAAATGAATAAAACATCTCAGGGCCAAGTTTAGGGCTCTTTCCCCTAAACCACATTGCCTCTAATCAGTCCAGAATGCTCTCTGCTTAAGACCTTACATAAGAATATAAGAATATAAACAGGGTCACCAACTTTCCAAGATAGCTCCTAATCTCATTCTTATGACCACACGTATTTCTATTATCTCTTGTTAAATAGTTATTAAGCAGCTACAATAGGACTACTCACCTAAAAGACAACTCCTACTGTAATTATGGAGTATTTAGTCTAAACCGACAATTCTATCTCCATACACAATTAATCCTGCCCATTTAAATCTACTAGCAATAGTAAGGTCCAATGGAATGATTCCAGCCTGGCCTGCCTCAACATCTCTGTTAATGACTAAGATGGAGAAAAGAAAACATACTTATCAAATATGTAGATTGCAAGAAGCTGGGCAGGAAGACAAATATGTTGGATGACCCAACCATGAACCAAAAATACTTCAACAGACTGTTTCAATGGGCTAAATCTAACAGGGATAAATCTAGACCCTGCACTTGGGTCTAAAAGAACAGCTGTAGAGGTACAGGATTGGTGAGTCATGCCCACCTATGTGTGAAAAAGCCTTACTGGCTTACGTTGACAGTATACACTGAAGGGGAGTCAAGAAGATGATATGGTTGCCCCCCAAATTAATGTGATTTTAGAAACAGTAATGCAAATATAGTATCTTCATGTACAAAGCGAGATTTTTGTTCTATTCAGCACACGTCAGACTCTACTTGGAATACTGTCGACAGTTTTGAACATTATATTTTAAGAGACAAGAGGAAGAGTTGTAAGATCAGAAGATATTTAACCTGGAGAAAAACAGGACAGTTGCCTTAAATATTGCAGAAAAGTGATTAGACCGTTTATCCAAAAGGTAGAATCAGAACGAATGGGTGGGTCACAGAGGGAGAAAAACTACTCAACATTTAATGCTGAAAGTAAAAACTTTCTAATAGGGGAGTTTCTGAAGATTTGAAAAATGTAATGGATGACCTCAAAAAGCAGAGAATTTGCAATTAGGCTATCTATCTGATGGAAGGCTGACTACACGATCTCTAAAGTCCCTTCCAACCTCGGGATTTGCTGATGCTGTGATTCTAAATTTGTAACCTCTGAACCCAGTTAGTGCCTAAGAAATAACACTTTGTGACAATAAAAACAGGTCATGGAAAAAGACTTGGCCACTTTATATGATATAGAGCATATACCAAGGCAGAAACAAACTGGGGAAAGTTCAACAGTCCTTTTTCATAACATTTTTCTTAAAGTTAACCAAAGTTAGCCTCTCCACCTGAAAAGACGCTGTGTGTTTTGATGCTTAAGTGTCGTCAGAGGCCAATTCATCAACAGCAATAGTGAGGTAATGGAATTCTTCATTTATATGAAAATTCTCTAGTTTGTTAATACACCTGCCCTCTGAGGTTTAAAAGGCACAGATTTTCTCAGACCATAAACTTACTAACTATATCAACATGGAGTGAAGTGTTTTTTGTGTCAGAGCAGTTTGTTTTATAGCCCGTACAGTCAAATGGTTATCTGGGTTGAAAAGGTAAAGCAAATTGAAGATAATTTCAAGATGCTGACTGACACTTAATTCACTCAATGGACATAAATTTACTTCCTACTGTGTGGAGATTAGAGTGATGGTTAACAAGAGCCCAGCTTCCAAGGAGCAGTTAGTCTCCTTAGGGGAGACAAGAGCCCTAAGAGAGAATGCAGTAAGTGTCCCAAGAGGAACACAAAGTGCAATGGAGTTTGAGAGGATTACTCTTGGCTGAGTGGGATCAGGGAAAGCTTCACGGAAAATGAAACATCGTACCTGGGGCTTGGAAAGGTGAGCTGCAGGTGGACAGATAAAGGTAAAGAGAATTTCCAGAAGATGGAACATTATGAGCAAAGACAGGGCCATGGAAAGCTCAGCACATGGACAGGGACAATACCTAGATTTTGTGGAAGGGAAGTATAGGAAACAGAAAAATATGCCAGAAAGGTCATGAAGGGCTTTTAAATGTCATGCTGAAAAGTCTGGACTTCACTCAGCAGACAAAGGAGAGCCACTGAATGTTTTTCAGGAAGAAGGGGTGTAATAAGATTAGGGGTGTAAGAAGACCTTGGCTTTAAGAACAGATAAGTCTCTCAGAAGTTAACCCTTTCTTTCTTCCCAGCTGGAAACCCTTTCTTTCCAAGGCTGAAAAATGACAAATTTGGTGAATATTTACTTCAGTAGAACTATGGTATTTACAATTGTCTGATCCAGAAATTTAAATTAAGTGTGCATCTACCTTTTGAGAGAAATGCAACAGCAAAGTTTGCTGCAACCTGCACCAAATTTTGCTGATACTAAGAGTTTAAAAAATATAGATTCAAGCCTGATAAATGAAAGAAGGGCAAATTCTAATTATTCCTAAAACACCGTACCTAATTAGTTCTGTAGACAATTGATGACAATTTGAAAACACTATCAAATATAAAGTTCTACAGTAAATTTCATCTCACATAGTTAAAGTTATAAAATCAAAACAATCAGTCTTCTCATTAACAGGAAGTGTAGTGAAGATAACCATGAGTTCTACTGGGAAAATAAGATTCTGATCCACAGGGCTGCCCGTTCATCCACCATCACCAAACTCAGCTAACTAAAGGCTCAACTTATTTTTGTCCTGAATTTGTGAATCAAATTCTCTAGGTAGTTAAGGACAGAAAAGTCATCTTGTTGTGAAGAACTTTTGTGTTTGTCCTCTTCAAGGAAAAAGCACAGCTGAAGGCTGGGGCCCACATCTTAGACAGTCAGCTGCCTGGAATGTCCAGATCAAGCTGAAGGTCAATTCTTAGGGTACCTAACCTTGAAGCCTACAAGTTCAGTCTACTCCTTTCTTTGTTTAGTAAATGTTTTGAATAGATAATACATGCACATGTTAAAAAAAACGTTAAGTCCCCTTCCTACCCACATCTCCCAATCACCAGGTTCCTCTCCCTAAGGCAACCACAGTTAGCAGCTTCTTAGGAAACCTTCCACATGTAATCTATATATATACCAACTTAGTGTATATGTACTCTTTTTACATAAATAGTAGCTTCCCTTTTCTCCCCATTTTCCACAATGGTAGCATTCTACACACACTTTTCTTACGTTGAAAAAACAATCTGTTACAGAAGGATGGTGGTGAAGAAATCTCAACTCCAACTCTGTGCTTCATCCACAGATACTACAGTCACCCCAGTGAAACCCTTTTTAGGATAATAGAGTTGTAGTAATGTATTTAGCAGTTGTTAGGGTAACATCTAATCCAGGCTGAATTCAGCTTATCTGGCAATTTTTTCCTATTCTAATAAGACTAAGAAATAGGAAAAAAAAACCTTTAATAGCAAAAATGGACAAGTGCTGTAATTAACAGCTAACACAACTATGTGCCAGGCACTGTGCTAAGTGATTCAGATACATTATTTCATTTAATCCTTACAACAACTATCGGAGGTTGGTATTCTTCCTGTCCCCACCTTACAGTTGAGGAAACTGAGTCTTACAGAAGTAACGTGCCCAGAGTTACAAAACTTGTTAAGTGTCAAAGCTGGGATCTGAACCCTGATAATCTGATCCCAGAGTTAGACTGTTTTTCTGCCTCTTTTAATGACTAGAACGAACCTTCCAGAATCCATTTGCTTTTTCATTTAATCCTCACAAGGGCAATAATTTAAGTTTCAAAACTAACATCATATTAGAAATAAAATACCAGAAGGGAAAAGACTGGCTAACCTGAGGCAAACACACCTACAACAGCAAAAAGTAACTGCTGGCAGACTAAAAGGAAAGAACCTAAAAATGTATTTAAAATAAACACAACAGCAGTTCAACATGCAGGCTATAGCTACGAGTACAACTCAAAGAAGGCAGCCTGGCAAAATACAGTTGAGAGTTATCAGAACCGGGACTTCCCTGGTGGTCCAGTGGTTAAGACTCTGTGCTCCGAATGCATGGGGCCCGGGTTCGATCCCTGGTCAGGGAACTAGATCCGGCATGCAGCAACTAAGACCCAGCACAGCCAAAAAAATAAATAAAATTTTTTT